GGGGGGGGGTCTGAATTGAGCGATCAATTATTAGACCCGGACGTCCCAACACTTGCTTCGCAAGACAAACTCAAGGTATCCCCTAAAGGGCTACCTTTCGTGATATGCAATGCCGCCATGCTGCACAACCAGCTGCTCAGATTCGTCAGCAGTGCCTGACAAATGGGAACATGCAGGATATCACAAGGTGACAGGGTGAGGGAGCGCATGTCGCAGTGAAGAATCTACACTTCCCATGCTCAGCATCTCGGCATTGCGTTCGTCTGGCTTCCCCGAAATGGCTGCGTTCTTCTACTTCCGAGAAACCTTTTGAGGCTCGACATCATGACTCATGACATCACCTGTGTACTTTGATGACTTTGCCCAAACTGGTCACATCAAAACCTACCTCCAGGTCGAGCCTCTCTCTAACCGAATCCAACCCTCAACCATCGTCAACCGCACTTTCCGTTGGCAAGTAATCGTCCCAGAAGAACTCGATGTGACGTGAATGCATTGTCAAAGGCACCTTATGCATCACCGAGGCCCAAAAACCCTGCAAAAGAGTGACCGCTCAGCATGTTTATACCCTTGTGTTGCTTCCTATTGAGCTCTCTGTTGTGGAGACTTGTAGGATAGCAGCCGTCACACTGAAGAAGATGAGAATACCCTTTGTAGATTGTCCATCTTTGATCTGTTGTAAGCACCCTGGCTACGATAGGCCACGGACGGTTGCCTGGCACAGCAGCCTGGAAAGCTGCCCCAGTCCAAATCTCCTCTTCTGGTACTGGGCCAACCTCAAGGGTGACGAAACATGTTTGTACATGTAACTCTTTGCACTGGGGGGCGATGGAAGCTTGTGTATCTGTGCAGTGTCCGCAGATGCCATTCGTGTTTGTTCGAGCGTCTTCCAAGACCTGAAGATAAGGAGAGCCGGTTTGTCACGGTTGCCCTAGTGGGAGCGAAACGGAGCGGATGGAAGTGGATGAGATCCAAAGTCGTAGACGAACTTCAGCGACCACAGCTCTGTTGGCTGGCCCGAAAAGTCACATCATCGCGGCATTCACTCCGAGCATTTGGGATCATGACGATCTCCAGTTCGGATCCAAGATACAATTCTCAATGCCACCGCCAAATCATCAATCTCCTCCCCTGGTTGCAAAGCATCCTTGGAAGTACCGAATGAAGAACTTACCGAATCAAAAACAGGAGCTCGGTTAGGGGCTAGCAGCGGCACAACCTTACTGAGGCACAACAATGCTGCTCACGATGGCCTCCACCCTATAATGAAACCCGTACTCGGACGAGCCATGTCACATGTGTGGCCTTTCCAGTTGGGCCTCGGACTATCCTGACGCACGGCTAGCATTGTCTCGCAATTTTATCCAACTGTCCTATCAGCCACATCCACTGTCTCTGGGAATCAAATCCAACCGAGGTACCCAATGCTGAGGCAACCGGACCTCAAGCCCACGTCCGGAAAGCTTTTCGCGGGGCTTCATGAAGGTAAGTTGATCGAGAACAATGTGCGGGAGAGTAATCCCTTCCAAAACAATGTCCACTGCCACCCTCTGAAGTTGTTTCTCTTCAATCGGTTTGCACGTCTGGACAACTTCCAAAGTTCTTTGTGTGGAGGATATCTTGAATCTGTTGTCTTCCCTGATTTTGACTGGCATCACCTCTGGTGCTGGGTTGGTTTGCGGGTGTCATGTATTGAAAAACATCCGAAGCACCTTTGAATGTACTTAGGGCTCTTATCCTGCCTCCTCCAACTTAGGCAACAAAAAAGCACTGAAACAAACCACGAACTCTGCACCAAGGATCTGTCGCAATCGCTTCACCCCAGGTGCTGAGGACCTGCCCCTGACACTTGGAGCAACGATTGGTCACTGGAGTGAGCTGACGCATGTTCTTGCAAGCTTATTGCCCTACAAACATCTTCGCTGAAGGTTGCGCATTCGGACTGTCGAGTCTAGAAAATGATCTGGCACTCTCAAGGGGATAATGCTGCAACCATTGAAACATTTTGAACCCAAAGGGTCACATTCTCAAATTGTTCTCAATAGATTTATATGTATATATAGAGAAAGAGAGAGAGATATATACGCAAATGAAATAATACCATATATTAATATATAGTTTGTAATATATATATATATACACAGCAACGTGGCCGTCCATGGTACCATGTGGTTTCTCACCTCGCCCGGCGAGGCCAAGAGCGCCCCATCCTGGAAGACTCGTCGCTTCCGCAGCCGCTCCTGGTTGAGACCGACCCAAAGGCCGATTGAGGGAGATTCCAGCAGCACAATGTCAAAATGTTCCTAGTAGCGTCCTTGCTTCTAGTAGCGATGCCAGGAGCCCCTAATAGCGCCCTTACTAGCGTCCTTGTTACTAGTAGCTCCTTGTTCCTAGTAAGGCCAGGAGCCCCTAGTCGCTTCTTGGCTCATTTTGCTCTTTGGCGTCTCTCTTCTGCATTTTTTGTGTTCCTTTCTTACAGTGAAGTCCAGGGGGTTGAGTCCAGACCAATCTTCTTCTTTTCAGTCTCAACCTTGGCTGCTTACAGTGGGCATTTGTGTCCCCGCTCAAGGTGCTCGTCTACAGTTCCCTCTTCGGCTCAGTTGGCGAGGCTTCGGTCTCCATCCAGCGGAGCAATGCAAAGCTAGTGCATAGGGCGGTCGTCGCTGCCACTAGGGGAAAGGTGCTTCCTGAAGGAGGCTCTGGGGCGCCGCCTCCGGCCTCTTTGGCATCGGTCTTCGGTTGCGAAGATCGGCAAAAGCCACGTCCCATAGCCACTGTCCAGTAGAATTGAAGCAGCACCACAACAGCAAACGAGATGCTGGCATAAGCCCGCACAGGGGGGAGCTTGATTTCCACCAGCACGGCAGCCCATGGTTCCGGTAGTGCCTGAAAGTTGGAGAAGGTGCTCACTAAAAGCGATGCCCCCAGGATTGGAAACCACACTAAGCGGATCAAGAGCCATGTTGAGTAGAAGCCCACTTCACACCACAGCGGGCGACCAAGAAGTCGTCGAAGCGTCAACAAGACGGTGTTCACTTCAACAACCAGCGCCCGGCTGGCATTGACCCTGTGACTGGGAAATTCAAGGGTATCTATCAAGACCACGATAGTGACAATGTGATGGGCGATGATGCTTTTGGGCGTCTTGACCATTCCAGGCTGAAGTGCTACCCACAGAGCATCACTGATCAAGTAGCCAGTTGTCAGGGCTACGACTATGCTGTGAAGGTAGGAGTCCTCCCCCCAAGCCAGCGCTGTGATGCACATGACAAAAATTGCCGTAAGGGCCCAAATGTTGGCCCAGTCGTGCAACAAGCTGGCACTCACCCTCATCGCCATGACGAAAGACCGAAAGACCTGGCTATTGGAGCTGACAGCCACATCTAGCTTGTCCAACAAAAAAATTGGAAAAATGCAGCTATACTATGCTCCTTTATGGTACTGTAGGGGGTTCACACCTTTGACTCTGACAGCGTATGACTCAGATGACTCTGACTGTATCTCCTTCTCTACGGAATTGCGCCAGCATGAGCCGAGCAGCCAGCCAAGGAGTGAAGTCGCCATATCATGTCAAGCAGAACATCTAGGTGCAAAGGGGAAGCCCATGGAAGTGTTCCATTCAGAAAACCAGCAATGCCACCATCCTATACCCAAAACTTGTGTTCTCCTTCACTGTGATTCTTCGGCGTACCAAGGGGAAAAGAAATGGCACAAGCAACCTTGGCCAATTGCTCAGAACTCCTGTCCTTAGTGAAGGAGATGCGGTAACCTTAGTCAAGGGTCGAGGCTGAAGGCTGAAGTGAGGCTGAATGAAATCAAGGATCACTGAATCACAGAATCAAAGCACAGCTCCCTCTTGTTCAAAGCTGAAACCTATAGTAGACAGGTGCAGGGCCAAATTCTCCAAGGCACAGGACCTCGCAAGCCCAGCGGATGGCATTGCTTCCCTGATCAGTTTGCAAACTGCAGGGGCTAGTCGTATTCTTCTTCCGACCATGGATTTCCGGTTGGTATCTGCTAAAACCCTGCTGCCGTGGACACAAAGTCTGGAATGGGATGCAAACTGCCGAGCCAAATTGTTGCAGGAAAACCCACGAATAACATTATATAATATATATATATACATACAGTAAGTACTTTCAGCAATTGCAAGTCCCAAAGCCAGAACAACCTGATGATGTGCGAGCAGCACCTCTTTTTGGCCCAGCTTCAGCTGGAGCTCTCAAATGCTGATCCCAAGTACTTGCTGTCTGTCTTTGCAAGCACGAGGCGCCTACAAAAAGAATCCATGTGTTGATGTGCCATGATGTACTGTGCACGTCTAATGGCCAGCGATTCACTACCACGACCCGTGTAAAGAGAGCTGATGCTCAATCGTGCTACTAGCTTGTACCTCTTGTTGGCATGCGTCACTCTGACCATCTTGTGAGTTGTAACCCAAGAAAGCAAAGCTTCTGGGTGCAGGTTCGAAGGCATGCCACATCCACACAAGGCAGTAAAAGTTGTCTGCAGAAATTTCACTGCAAACACGGGATATCTCCCAATCGTGTTGTGTGGCGATGGGAAATACACTTGTAAATGACGTTTTGCTCCTACAGCTTGCTAGAAAGCCTCGGAGCTAACAGTAGAAGTGAATGCCTTCCCCAACAAAAGAATCTTTAGTATCGAATGAGTCCACACATGTCAAAATACCAAAACATAAGCCCTGCAGCATGTCTTTATACTTGGAAGTCGCTGCACAACACTCCTATGAACAGTGCCTCTTGGTGGCGTTCATCGCGACACGACGGCACAAACGAAGAAGGTTGCCATGCCGGAAGCACGCCCATGATGCACAAGAGCAAACACGAGCAACATCGAAAGGCTGCGTCACAGTTGGTCAGCCGGCCTCTGGTCCGGCATCAAATTTACATAAATTGATCAACATCGCCATGCGTGTGGTAAACAGTTTTTGAAAGACCTCACCAAACCAACCAACCTTTTGGGATTAACAGAAGACCTGGGGAGGGGTGCAGTTGTGAATCAGCGTATAGCCTCCTCTCCGCCTTGAAAATAGCGTGCGCTGCTCTCGAGCAACTGGGCTTTGCGCTCACGGCCAATGAGGCATAGGCATAGACTGCCAAAGACCTGTATATTGCTACTGCTCTTGTCACATCATGTCACATACATAAATTATGCACCCCCATTCCTTTTAGACCATCACACCCGGAACCAATCCACAACATGCCCGATGAGCGTGCACAAAGTTGAAAGTAGCATGGTCAAGCGTCCATTGGCCAATGTCAATATGAGCAGCAGGACAATACTGATGGCGCTTCTATGGGGCCATTGCTGGAAGAAACCAGCAAGGAACAGCAATTCCAATGACCAAAGTCAACGACAAAGCAACATCAAATGAGAAGAGTCGGTTGGCCCAAAATAGCTTTTAAAAGAAATGATTAGAGGCTGCCGCCGGTGGCCTTAGCGCTATAAGCTGCAGAAGCCCGTGCGTGAGACCCAAATGCACAGGTCCCAGATAAGAGTGCCAAGGGCTGTGCCATGCATGCCTTACCTGGGCCTTACCTCCATGGGTCCTCGCCAGGAAACCCCGAAAGGCAGCCGCAGCCGTGGATGTGTGGAGGTCACTGCCTCAAGGCGGCAACTATTGGTCAAGCCTACCACCAGCAGCGTGAAACACTGTGCATGTGCACTCGATGTGCAAGTCCTTGAGCTCGACTTTTCTCTTTCCTATTTCTTCCTGTGACACGCATCAAAAGACATATGTGTCAAATGATAGTTGATGCTATTTTTGATTATATGGCATACGCAACTTGGTGTGCTTGTTGCATGGGCTTGGAACCTTGTTAAAGCTCCTGAGACAAGTGTCAGGCCTGCCACCCCACAAAACTCCCTACAAATTATCCTACATTCCCAGAGGGCGTCGACAATCAACCAACTGGTTGTGACAAATCTCATCGGCAGCCGTATGGCCACCGGATACATCCTTGATTGCCCCTTGGTGCACGTGCCATGCCATGTGCCAAGCCTCAACCAGCCTATCAAGATGCCAGTCCCTTCAACTGGTTCAAGGTGTCTCAATTTGTCGGAGGGTACACCTGAATGCCCTCTTGCCCGCCAAGTGGCAGCCGTGGATCAAAAGCCCCCTAACAAACGGCGTCAAGCCAAAGGAAATAACATGAAATAACATGTCATCAGCATCTCTTTCCATTCCCGTTCGAACTTCTTGTTCCAAGAATTCAGGCGCATGCTCGCCATCTGTGTTGTACAGACTTGACCGTAAATAACCAAAATATGCTGGGTACAAGTCTGCCTGATGAAGTGACAAGTGCATTTTTCTCAGCATCAGCTTCAGTATACAGCAACTCTCCAGTATTTCATTGCAGTCCACAACCCTGAAGCCCCAAACAAGCATGTCTTCCAATCAGAACATCTACTATAGACGCCGCCGCAACCTTGTGCCCAACTGTGCTCTCCACTAACTCTGAGAACGTTCTGGACATGTCAATAAGGGCAACAAGAAGCTACTAGTAACAAGGAGCAAGGACGCTACTAAGGGCTCCTGGCATCGCTACTAGCAGCAAGGACGCTACTAGGGGCTCCTAGCATCGCTACTAGGAGCAAGGACGCGACTAGGG